TGCAGATGCTTCTACCCCCTGTGATATGTAGGAAGATACGCGAAGTGAGTTCAGATAAATCTGAACTCTCGTCTGTCGAACCGGAGAGTTGTACTCGTCTTCAAGCATGGCAACTGCTTGTTGAAAGCTTGTAGCGTATCCATCAACCTTGTCGAGATAAAATCTTTTCGCATCTCCGTGTAGTAAGTTGTGAAGATATTGGAGCTTCTGAGAGGGCCCTAGATTATAATCACGGCTTATCTGGGAGTATTCGTCCGCGAATTCCATCCATGATTCGCCAAGGTCGCCTGAGAACTTCTTTTCTCTTTCCTTTAGGCGCATGGCAATGTTGTGGGCTAGTTTTCCCGCTGTTGCTCGAGATCCACCATTTTCCGCGTGTGCAGAGGGGGCTGAAGACTGCGAGAGGGGTTGATTGTTCAGATCAGCACGAGGGCGGCGTCCTGCGGCGATAACAGCTCAAGCCATTTCGACAGCAGCTTGAGTGTCTTCGGTCTCCTCGTATAGGCCATGGGCTAATGTGTTGATAACGCGATGTGATGAGGTCGCTGCGGAGCAGCGGAGATGACCACAGCAAGGAAGCCGCGGCGGTGCAGAGAGCGCGGCGGAGGCGGCAGCGCGGAGACAGCGAGAATGGAGCGCGGTCGTAAGGCGTTGGCAGCGAGGGAGCGGCAGAGGCGCGACCCCGGCGACAGCAAAAACCGAGCGGGGTCCGGGGGCCTCGGCAGCGACGGTGTAGCGACAGCGAGAGGCGAGCTTGATGCGGAGGGGATTTGACGGCGAAGGCGTGGCGACAGCCAAAACGAACTTGCGCAAGAAAAGGTTTGAGGGTTGGTGGCGTTCACCGAGTGTCCAATCAAATTCGCGAAAAAAGATAATTATGTTTCGTTTGCCAATCGCGCTTAGTGAAAATGAAATTGATCAATGTGGTATTTTCACAGAATACACTATAAAAGTAGGAAAAGTAAGTAGAATTTAATGTTCACCGACCCTACTACCGAGTCGGTGTCTCGCAATAGTGGGGGCTCCAGCAGTCGAGCCTTTCACCTGCGGGACGTAGAACACTAGTCCTTTTTCCTTGTCCTCTTCTCGCTCCCGCTACTCGGGAGGAGGCCTTTCTTATAAAGGGAGTAAACCTGGCAAGTGCATCTTCCTTACAGTATTTCACTAAAGTATATACGTTAGGATTCTCATATTTCACAGAGAGAGATATATATAACACCTCACCAGAGCTTGTCTAAGCTCCCGGCCGAATATTGTGTTTCCATTGTCCACCATTCCATCTTATCCCTTATCTCCCTCCTCTGTCGTCAGTGCTCTATCTCCCTTAACCTCCAAACCTCCTGGACAGTAACTCAGACATCTTCAATAGGTCTTGACAGCGGTTACTAAACATCTCCGTAATACGGGAAAATGCCGTTTTCTGAGCTGTCAATGCGTAACCACACAGTCCGCTTGATTGTTTACTTATAGTTGCGCAATACCTCTGTAACTGGGCAGCAACCCCCCTATTGGCATGTTGCGCCCCATCTACGTCTATCTGCAGATTTCTACAAATATTGCGCAATTGCACACTATCTAATCGTCAAAACTTGAAGCCTCCATTACCCCTGCCCCTAACTCTCTCCCAATTATGGATCTTGTGGCCAGTCGTTGAGTTAGGCGCGCTCTGCGACGGGCCCTATGGCGCTCCTGCGTACGCTTTCTTTTCTCTACAGTAGCTTCGACAATCTCAGCTCTTCGGTTCAAAAACTGACGATAAAGATCGCTGTCATCCGCACGTAAAGGGGTGTTTCAGAATGTGCGCATTCGTCATGGCCAACGTAAACAGAAAAATAGGATCATAATTTCTTTCAGACCAACGAAACTTATTAGAAACAACCATCCAAAGCGTGCACTGTCTGCCGAAATAATTTTCGACAATAATTCTGTCTCCTGCAATTTTTCTGTTTGTATCCTCGCCGTGTCGACTCAACTCGCTCTCCCGAGGCTTTCTGACAGGTGTAATGGCTCTGATGCTCTCTTCGGCCCCTTAGTAACCTTTGTCTATCAACACCGCCCAGTACCGAGGGTACTTGTCTGCCGCAGGGCCCACATCAGGAATACTACGTTCATCAACAGATTTGCGCAATTGGGTCTTGTGCCACGCCAAATTCTAATAGCAAATATCTATGTCTGCGATCGAACCCGTGTAGGCCTTGAGCAACCCACTGCCAATCCATTAGCCAGGACAGAAACCTCCGTTTTGAAACCATACAACTTATGTTTTCCACTAAAATAGGCCTTACTTTCCTGAATGTTACCGCGAGGACGGTTGGTTTGTTGAAACGTTACGTCGGTGGCGTAACGCGCCATGCTGTATGTTTTGAAAGTGGCCTTTTCACGAGTAGCTTCTGTCACCGTGAATTGTTCTGCAGCCCCGTCAACGTAGACATCGTATGTGTAGTCGGCCAGCATCTTCAGAAAGTTAGTAACAAGACGCTCAAACGTAGGGCCCTTTATGTTAAACAGCTTTACCAAAAAATCCCATTGTCCAGAGTGCTTGCACACTGCAAGAGACATGAAAAACACTTCCTTAGCAGCATACTTCGATCGCTTTCCTGAGCCACAGTTGTAGTTTTTTGATATGTGATCTTGCGAGCGGCCATAAATGTCGTAAAACTCGACTAAACTGAAGTGTGTCATAGCATGCACTGACTGGGGGCCACCACTGTCGACAAAGGAGTCCATTATTGGGCTTTCTGACCCCATTTCATCCAAAGGCTCGACATGCTTGGAGTGTTGCTGTAAATCTTGCTCTCGCTCTGCTGCGACTTCGGCCAGAAGGCTCAATGCCTCGGACGGATTGGTAGCGCTGACATCCGGGCGCCGAGGAGTCGCCATTGCTTCGGTTTTGAGGGTGAAGGGAATCAAAGGGGCTGGGTGAGGCAAGCGCAAGAGGGGGAAGGGAGGAACAGGATGACGCAAGTGTGCAAGAATGGGACGATACGCAAAAAGAAAAGTGTATGCAAGTGCATGAAGGAGCAGGACAGGGACGGATGGGGGCTAGAAAAGTTTGGGAAGCGTTTATTTAGTACTTTGCGGGCTTATCCTTTGGACTTGACTCAATCATGTGTATCTTGGGGTGCCAGATGTGCGATATCGATATTTTCGTTGCTGTTGGCGGTGTAACCGCTCATTTCCGTAGTCGTACGGTCTTCTCGTAATTAATTTGTCCCCAGGAGATGGCATAGTAACTCTGAAACTTGATTATCTCGCTTAGTAACGTCTATCTTTCTAACAATTGGCCCGTATGTACTGTGGTGGTGACACGTATACGTATATACTGCTGCATTATTATATATAGCTTCCTTGTTGCACAGTTGTTGAGTATATGCGAGAAAGGTCTAATCTGCACCATGTCTGAACTTACGAGAACTGTACAGCACCAGATCAAGAGACTTGTAGTACAATTGAGTACCAAGACCACCCTGGGGAGATGTGAACCGGACAGAAGAGCGGGTGCTACTGTAGCGACCGGGCTTACACGCCCCCGTAGCGGAGTACAATAGTACCTCGCGGGTCACACGTGCTACAACCGCTGGCGTGGCCACGGGCACACGTGTGTAATCCGTACGGTTATAAGTAGTAATTAGTAGTTAATGACACAAATTTATTAATTGTGTACAGTAGCTAGTATACAGTAAGTAACAGCTACTGTAGCGGGACAGGTGTCCTGGCGTCTCACTTAGGGGTTAAGACCGGGGGCACCTGCCCCGTCCTAGTAAAGAGGAGGCAGACTCCCCTCCCTTCCCTTTACGGCTAAGTGCTAACACCGTTCCGGTTTTTCTTTAGCTCGGGCTTCTAACCCGTGACCGGCTGTCCGGGTATAACACCACCGACCGGCTGCGCGTCACCGGCCACGTGAGCCTTCCCTCTTTTCGGGTCCATCCGTACAGTTTTTATCCGCGCGTGGGTAACCCAGCGTCGCGCGCTCCCTCACCTCTAACCCCCCTCGTTCCGAGTGGTCGGGACGAAGGTAGTTATATCACAAGACTCCCTTTTTAACCCTTGAGTACGGTTACCGAAGCGTACTACAAGAGTGTAGACTGTACTGTGCCTTTGGTACTGTACGGCACTGTGACCATCACAGTGACGGCTGTAAGCACACACCCGTCACAGTGTGGCGGGTGTGTGCTTACAGCCGTTGCGGTTGGTTGGCGGGCGAGCGCGAGAGGGCCAGCGAGTGTGGAGACGCATTAAATTTACCGGCTGCCGCCTGCATGGCGCATCGGAATAAGAGTGAAGAGTCAGGGTATCGCCGTGCCGACTTTCGCGCGGGACAGCCCGAGCGGAATGTGCCTGAGCGCAGCCGGGCTGTCGGCTCCGTAGAAATTCCTCCGATTGGCAACACAGTCTGAAAACGTGAGACCATTGCGTCTGTAGCCCGAATAGCCGCCCGCGAGAATGGCGAAACCCGCGGAAGGGAGGCGAAACGCGCGGGATGGCCATAGCGACCAAGCGGGGAGCAGCGAGGTGGCTGTGCGCCCCGAAGGGGGTCAGCGAAACGAAAGCCGAGGACGTCCGCCGTGGAGGGAAGAGGACCTTCTTGTTGAGCAAGCACAAGTCGAGAAAAAACCATATCAGCTCACTACCTGTCGTCTAGACACTAGTGCGAATCCACTGTCCGGCATTCCCCGTCCTTGTCTGATGACCCCCTGCCCAAACGCCTTTCATGCAATTGCCGCATCCCTATTCCTGAGTACAACACAGAAATCTCGTGCCGCTCGCAGCAAAGAGCTCGAGAATGACATTGCGTCGCCCGGCCTATCACCGCCTCCGGTTATGAAACCCCAATACCTTTACACATCGATACACTAACGTCCCAGACCGGAATAGCCCAAGTATAAGTACGAGTAATGCCTTTACACATGGATACACTAACGTCGTATCAATCCAATGAGTCTATCCTACTTCTTGTCATCAGTAAGCACGCAAGCAGACTGTCTAAACTTGCACATACTTTATCCGCCTGGTCCGACGCCACTTTCTGGCTTCATCTCGACTATCAGTGCAATCACGTCTAGAAGCTGACTGCCTTTGCTTGTCCCTGCCGCCTTATCCTGTGTGCTATTTGTGGAATTCGTATCACCTTCTCCAAGGATTGGAATACTGTCAATCGTGTCCTTCGTCCCTGGGAACCATATCGGAATATACTTGACGAGTATTGGGACTGAGATTGCAAGAATGATCACAATAATCAAAACGATGATACAGATTTTCTTCTTGTTCGCAGATTTTTGGTGTGCTCGAGCTTCCACGAGCTCCTGATACCCTGCTTCCGTCTTCCCTTTTGTTTCACCGATGTTGTATTCAATGTTATTCAGGAGCTCACCTTGAGCTTCCACCAAAGTTTGCATATCCATGAACAGTTGATGCAATTGGATGATGCTTTCCTCCAGCTTTTTGATATCATTATTCCTAGATCTTAGGTCCTCTAGCCCACGCCGAAGCTTCACTTGCTCCTCATATGGCAATCCCGCAAGCGTAGTCGAGTCCTCAACAACACATTCTGTGTTTCCGTTTCGCAATGCATTTTCAATATCCTCATCAGTGGCTTGCGGGTTCATGAGTCGGAGCTGCCTTTCAAGAGCCCCCTTCACATTGTTTCTATGTTTTTCTTGCGATTCTTCAAAACATTGCATTGCCCTCATGAATCTTCGCGTAAGTCCCTGATGAGTGTTCACACGCATTCGAAGTTGCCCGGTTTTCGCAGCGAATTCCTTCGAGAATTTCTTGTTTTCCCCGCCTATTCGTCCTAGCCGTTTTCGTACAGCCTCCGATGTTTTCTCCGTCTGCTCGAGAAGCCTGGCAATGTCACCTGAAGCTCTATCTTTCTCTGACTGGTCCACATTCTCTTCAAGTGAAATCTTATAACGTGACTCTACTGTTTCCACATTCTCCAGAATTCTATCGATGGCTTTTGAAAGCGCGTCTGTCTCCTTTCGAAATTTACCAAAGGATTCTCTCGTTTCCTCGTCAATTTCCGGGTCTTCAGGGTTCTCCACATCTGTTTCTTGCAAGTCTATATCCTACGAATGTTAGGTGGAAAAATGTAATAGGTTTGAAAAGTTAGTATCTCTTTGACTTTCTGAGACTTTTGAATGAAACCTTATATTTCGTATCCAACTTACATCGATAGAGATGCCTGTACCCGCTGTCAACTCAGCAAGGCGATCAGTCATTTCACGCTTCGAAAGTGCGCACCCGGAAATGAACTCAGTACCACTTGCTTCCTCCTTGCTTATCAAATATGCCACAAATTGACGTTCTCACTGCACGTTTCGTTGCTTGTCCTTCAAGAGAACTGCCAATCCTAGTTGAATCATAGGATTGCGTTGATGGCGACTTGCAGCACACATGTAGTGTGACCAACTGGGATTCTAATCGTAGCCCGATAAAGGCAAAGGTCAAAGATGCACTGTAAAGGTCCACAGAGATATCTACATTTAGAGGTTTACTTTTGATATCGTAATGTACGTTCTTGAACACCGAAACAGGCTGACAAGCACGCTACAAATTATCAGCAGAAATGGCAGCCCCTTGGAGAAATAATCATCACTGGTATAGGGTTGATAGCTCAGAACTGCGAACACAAAGAGCCTCGCTTTCTTTTGGCCATCGGGATGGTTTAGAACTTAATACAGAAGTCAGCGCGGTCCACCTAAAAGTTGACACATACGACTTGATAATTTCTCGTATTTCACCTCATGACGACGGCTGGGAAAGGGACCGAACACGATGCTCCTATTTACATAACTATCTCCTTTTACTGTACTTAAATCTTCATCTTATTTTCTAGGTTTGTACGGGGATGGCCACGGCTGCTTTTCGAGCTCCCACCTTCGAATACTTCCATCTTCTCCACCAGAGAGCAAACAGTGATAGCTTTCCCACATGCAGCAACTAACCCGGCCATAAAGAGACTTTATGTTCGCACGAAGCACCAGCTCCTCATTCTCTTGGTAGATCCATACGTATATCTCCCCCCTATTAGTTATCGCCACTAAATAAGTAGATCTTTCTACCGCACATGCATCATTTGTTGACGCTGACGGGGACCAAGTCAAGCATCTGATGCCATCAACCAGATTTTGATGATGGCGACGTATACGAAGCTGAGGTTGACTCTCGCTTCCAGCGTGAGAACTAAATGAAACACCATCTGTGGATATCGTTACGATGCCACAATCACCGTCAGAAGCCACAATAGTATGTTGGTCCCATTTGTGGGCAATGCACAAAACGCGAGCCAAGCCCGTGGCTAAAGGACCAACTACAAGCTCCCCGGAGATACTGAATAGGGCTAATGTGCCATCCTCATAGCCCAGACACAGGAAACACTCATCTCCATTCTGTTGTTGAATTCGACAAGCTGCAGACGCTTTGGGAGTTGTTTCACCTGCACGCAAAGATATTGAGCCAGCTGGCCACTGCATTGGAGAGTTTCTCGCTTCCGTCCAAGCCCTTTCAGACAGAGGGAGCATCATCGTTTCTAAGTCACCGTTTCCCGAAATCGAAGTTATAGCAGTATCCCCGTGAATGGCAAGCAGACGAGTCTTTTGCTCTTTACCATTGTTCTGGCATTTTCGTTTGCGTGAAAAAACAAATTGTAGTTCTCCGTTCAGAAGTCTGATGAGTCCAACCCGTCCGTTGGATGTAGCGAAGAGAAACAAGCTCGTCTTATCAGTTCTATTTGGAAATTCGCCATTCTCGCGGGTGGCTATTCGGGCTACAGACTCAATGGTCTCACGTTTCCGGACTGTGTTGCCAATCGGAGAAATTTCTCCAATCACATCACATGTGCTGTTTTCAATGCATGAGAGATAAGTGATCGTATCACTTGTCGCGAACGAAACAAATGAATTACATCGTCCACCTTTTCCCGTGGCCATTTCGGTCTCGGAAGGCTGGTTTGGCAGCGAGACTGCCAATGACTTGATAGGTCCATTCGTTCTCGGGGTGCGACACTTGAGCTTAATTAGAGGCTCATCGGATGGCGAAGAATCTAACTGCCAAAGCGCAACAGTCCTATCCATTGAAGAAGTAACAAATTGATATTTTGCCTTCAAGGCTTTCATGGAAAAGATTTGTCGTATGTGAGCTGATTGTCGGTGAGTCATCTCCTGGAGACGATTATTACCATCTATCTGATAGTGCACAATCGTCCCTCTGGGATTTGAAACGACAATGTCGCGTTGACCGCACCATGTACCAGAACAATAGTAATGAGAGGGCGTGCGATCTCTTGAAGGTCTCTCGCGAAGAGGGGTCTCATTGGTGGTGTCGCTCCAGGAAGGTGTACTACTCTGGGAAGAACTTTCAAGAGCACTCCAAGAAACCCCATCTAGAGATTTGTAGATGACTGGTCGTTTGCAATACGCAGATACCATGAGCAGGAAAAAGTGATGAGAACCACTTGCTTCATCGCGCACGCTTGTCACTAAGTCATTCACGATAGCGCCTTTGTGAAAAATAGACGGTCTCCCGTTTCGAGAGACATCGATGACCATCGCAATTCCCTCCTCCGCCTCACCTTGCAATAAACCTGCAACTAGAAGCAACTCTGAAGATCCAGGGACAAGTGTCACGCAAGTAATAATCCGAACGTCAAGGAACATATCGAAGACGCATCTGATGTTTTCCGCAGTCTCGTACTTCCACATGCATATTTGGTTCGGTTCCGTAACTACGAGTAGCACATTAGGAAATCGATTAACGAATCTAAGAGCAAAGATAGACAATCTTTTCTTCTTTCCTTGTGGTGGTTCTCTCACTTTCCGAAATATCCGTCTTGTTTGAGCGTCATATACTCTGACAAAGCCTTCGGATGTGCCCACAGCAAGCAGGTGAGTTAGGGCGGGGGCCTCGCAGAAGGAAAGGGCAGATACGCGGCCTCGACCTACCGCGCGGATCTCACCAATGAAGCGGCCTTCGAAGTCGTAGAAGACAACAGTGTTGCGCACACCGACCGCGATCCAGTCGTGGCACGGCTGTACGGCGAGAGCTCCTGGCGACCAGTTTGGGCCATTGTGCGCGAGCAGCTGCATGCAGCTCCTAACGAAAACGCCTGAGCCGGGTTTCCGGGATCTCTAACAATAGAGTAGATACTTGGCCGATGGCGGGAGGTGTGTATGGGCGGAAGAACAGGGCGGCGTTCTTGTTTCGGCTGGCTCAATTTTATTTTATAATGTTAATTTAACTTTTCCATCAAGAAAAGAGAGACTGACTTCGATGTGGTGCCTGCCAGAGTTGCCAAACAGACTGCACTGTAGACAATTTTGAGACGTTTTGTTACGTACCACTTTTATTCTGGAAGTTTTGTTACGTACCACTTTCTTCACCTCACTCCCGAACGACTTTCCGGTAGAGGTACCCCCGGATCTGGGGCTTCGCAAGTCGTAGCGTAGTGCCCAACTTGACCACAAGCAGAGCAACGCGACTTTCGTTGAAACGCTGCGACCCCCTGTTTCCGCCGTTTCTTCGGCCGACCTGCCTGAATCGGAACTCTCCACGCGCTCATCTGTCTGGCAATAGGCAGAATCTGCAAATCCACGTTAATGTTTACTTGAGAGGCAAGGGCAGCAGCAGCAACATACTGGATTTGAAGTGCTGCATGATGAAAAACAGTCGATGCCCACTTTGTGTCCAGATGATTCCAGTGTGCAGCCTCTGGGACGTTCGCATGCCGCTCGCGTAGATTATCAAACACTAGCACACGGCTAGGGGCTTGCGCTTTCGTTTCCCCTTTATTGCGTCGCAGGAGTGAGATTGAATTTTCCCACTCTCCACAAGCCGTTGTTTGCCCTGCGGTCTGGTTTAGCGATGACAATGTATGAGCACTCCTGGGAGGGGCACTGTATACGCAGGCGCCCAGAGTCTGAGTTTTTTATCTTGTGAGATCGGCCCACGGTGGCGCACAGGGCTGAGGATGCCATCAAGATGCTGTGCTTGTCACTGAACGTGCTCCCTTTGATCAAACTCATTCCGACGACGCCCTCTTCACCTCTTCATCACTCTAGGGCTCCTAAGAAAAGGGGCTCATAAAAGTGGTACGTAAGAAAAATTCCAAAATAAGAGTGGTACGTAACAAACATTATCAAAATTATAAATATTACCCCCAATTCGTACGTCACCCCCGAGCATGTTGACAACATTCATGAGCTCAATGTCAAATGTGCTGAACCCGAAGTTGGCCTTTCTTACTCCCGGTTCGTATTTCCTGCAGAGCAGAGTCTCCAGACAAAGAAGCAGTCTCGCCCAAGCATGCTCGAAAGCGACACTTCCGGATGATGCAAACACACAAAGGGCAGCCCGCAAGCGTCCGTATGGGTATTGGAAAAAGCCCGAGAACATCCACGCGGAGTTACTTAAATTTATCCACGACCACTCCCAAGCTGCTGTGATGCCGACTCAATCAGAATTGATAGAAGCAGGTCGCTCTGATCTTGCTGGAGCAATTCGTCGCTATGGCTCGTGGAAGAAGGTCGCAGATGAGCTGGGCCTCGTCCTTAGTTCGATTGTCAAACCGCGGAGTCTCAATTTGACTTTCTGCACGGATTTGAAGCTCCGCTCTGGGGGAATGCGCCCGTACATGTACTGGAGGGACTTCGACAACTTGCGCACTGAGCTCGTTCACGTCCTTGAAGCTATGCGTCAGGACGAAGAATGTGAACTATGTGAAGGGGTTCTCCCGAGTGCTTCCCAGTTTGAGGGCATCGGAAGGAGTGACGTTGTAAGGGCTATACGCATACACGGTGGATGGAATGAAGTGGCTAAAAGGCTTAACCTTAGCAGTTCTTCTCACGCGAAAGAGTACTGGGCCGACTTTTCAAACGTCGAAGCCGAGATACGAAGAATAATACAAGAAAATGCCTCAAGCTCCCGGCGAAAAGTAATGCCTCAGCTAACCAAGCTATATGAGTGCGGTTCCCCGGGTTTATACAACGCAGTCGTGCGTCGTTTTGGTGGGTCAGCGCGAGTTGCAAAACGAATGGGACTTGAAACAGCGAAGAAACCAAATGGGTATTGGACCCTGGCAAATATAAAAAAGGAGCTAGAGCTGTCTTTACTCGAAATCTGCAATCTGAATTCGGCGCGAGACCCATCAGTTATGCCCACCAAGACAGAGTTAAAGTCAGTGGGGCGTTCCGATGTATATAGTGCTATTGAGAGGATGGGAGGCAAGCATTCTATTGCACTAAAAGTTGGCTTGCGTTGCGAGGTGGAGCCGCCGAGACGGCGGAATAAGGGCTCACCGAGCAACCTCAATCAGGGCGCAAGAAAAGACCGGTAGCAAGCTTTGCTTTCAACATGCGACGCGTTTATGTACATGATTGGCAAATGGCGCCGGGTCCCAGCCAGAACTCATTTTTTCTTTCAATGGCCCCTTACCAAGGAAACATCGCCTGCTCGATATGTACAGAAACCTGTGATCAACTCGCGCTTGGGTAGACCGCTCAGCGACAGGCCCTCCGTCACGGGAGTCGTCGGTATGAGGCTCCTCGTCCAAATATTTTATAGAGACACGGCATTGAGTTCAGAGCACGTCCGTCAACTCCCAAGTCCTCCACATGCACTCCTCACTTCGCCAGGTTATGCCTCGGATGGTTTATATCTGCCAGTTGTGATGTGACAGTCATCCTTTTCTCGGAATGTTCAACCTTGATAGGAAACAATTTGCTCGTCGATTGTCCGACCCTGAATTGATTGATACCGCGCGTATACTGTGCTTCAAACAACACAGTGAGTGGAAAAGGACGTACTGTGCTGCGGAGATGATGATCACTCGCGAGGTTCCGTTCTGGACCGTGTGTGTAAACCCTCTGTTTTTCGTGCAGGTGCTCTGCCTGAAGCTATTTCGAAGAGAATCGCCTCGAACTACTATCAGCGGAACCACGTAGCAGTATGTTATCTCTCTTCTCCACAACACACTGTAGCCTTCTCCGCGCTCTTTCAGCGTATTCGTGCACAGCCGTTCGATTCACTTCATGATCCTGTCCTACGCCACTCACCTCAGCGTCAATGTAGTCCGCCAGCTTAGATTCTGGCACCGCAAACTTTCTTGCGAATAGCGCCCCGCTGGTTGTGATCAGATCCCGCAACCTTTCCGGCTCTCCTATTTGGTCCAGGTAGGCAGGGCGACTCCATCGCTTTCCGTCCATACCCCACAGAATGTATCGCAGACCATCCCATGCGACGGTGTCCCGAAAGTTTCCAGAGCTCATCAGCAGTGTGCCGAAGAAAAGCTCGTCAGCCGCCCTGGCGGTTGCAAAAGACAGCAACAGCCTTCGTGCCGCGGGTGAGTTGACGGCAAAGTCGCAAAAGGAGCGGTGTAAAATGACCCATCCCTCAGTTTTGACGAACGGCACTCGATTACGTGATACTGGATGACTCGCGTTAACTCCGACCAGCGCCCAGTCTTGCTCGAAAGAATCTGCGTCTGCTATCGTAGCAGAAGCATCTTCGCCACGTTCCCAAAGAGCTGTGTCAATCTGCACCTGGCTCATTCTGCGATTGAAGAACCAGTCCATGTTTTTGTCCGCAGCTTGTGTCTGCAGGAAATTAAGTTGTGATGACAGGACAGGCGCTGAGCCGAGCAGTTGGCGCAGAGTATTCGCGGATACCAGCGGATAATCGCTGCCGCTGATGTTTATGAAATAATCCCACGTTGTCGAGGCGCGAAGCAATGCGGATAACCCATTGATGGTGTTAAGCAGCATACTTATGCCAGCATAGCTGATAGCTTCGGAATCCATGACGATGACATTTGCAAATCGACTCGCATCGTCTTCTTTGAGCAATCGCAAGATTTGCTTCCGTTGCACAGACCCGATCTTCATGTCGAAGTGGATAACGTAGATATTTCTCTCATGCCAGATGGCTCTGAGAAGACGGGGAAAGTTTAAGACAGATGTATTTGAAACCTGGACAAAAAAAGCCAAGTTGGCCCTGTTCTCAGACCTAGAGGCACTGCCTCTAAGAGTCTTCCCGAGAGGAGCCAGAAACAAAAACAACATCACTGGTAGAAAAAACATGCGCACCAATCTATACCATTGAGGAAGCGAACGGCGTAGCATCCGTTTAACAGGGAAGTGAGACATCCCTCGACGAAGGCCTCCCAATCGCATTAGAATTCGTTTCAAGCAATATTGGCGCCGGGAGCGGCGCGCTCACGGTGTTAACCGACAAGGTACATAATCAGTTGAGGCATGATATGAACCAATGTATAAATAAGACATGCGAACGATCGTACGGACCGAGAATGAAGTGAGGAAACGACAGGTGTGCCTAGTGGCGCCGTTGGCCAAAGCAGATTGCTGCTTTTCCCACTTCGGAGCCGGAAAGGGCTGGACGTGGGCCAGGGAAAGGTCCAGGTGCCGTGGCGCACGCTAGTACCTCCTCGGGCCCAGTGCGGAGTCCGCCGATCCATTTATGATCATAATTTCGCACAGAAGCTCAACGCTGACGTTGATGTCAAAGTCAACATTAGCATGACGAACTCACGCTCAAGTTTCTGGTTTAGAACAGTTTTTGTGTTAGATGTACGTGCCTTTCCATGGACACTACGAAGCGCGGATGGAGATATTTAGCTGGAGGGGTTTTAGGCGATGATTCCATATCTCGAAATAACGTATGGGTGTGGAAAAGAGACATGTCCCGAGAATGTAGTCGCATGTTATCATATTTAGTCTGCCTTTCGAGCTGACACGGGAGGCTGACGTGGAATAGTCCGTTAACGCAGCAGAGAAGAAATTTGTTGGTACGGTAGAACTACGTTTGGTTAGTAAAACTGTGAAGAAAGAATGCACTGAGACGTGTGAATCCTTTAATGCGCTTCTACAAAGGTTGCAATATCATACGCAAGTTACGCAACAAGAGCCATGTGCGCGAAGAGAGCAGCGGCTCTATTCATGCAGCGTAGTACAAGCACGCCTTGCCACCATCCATATCTGGGAACACCTTTCCTTCACTTCTTCCACAGATATGTGGTGCTCTGTCCACACTGTACCAAAACTGAAAACGCCGGCATACCCCGAAGAAATGACAAGGCAAAATTTTCGCAAATTCACAGGTGAATAATCAGGTGTGCGACCGGCATTCCTTTTCTGGTCCGAGGCGTTCCTTGTCCCAACAACTGTATTCCAGTTTCCATGATGTCACCCTTGAAACGCTTGGGAATACAGGAACCCTGAACTTCCTGCTCCACATCCATGCATGTCAGATGCGAAGCGATGCCGGCGCCCGTAGGGCGTTGCCGCTTCTGTTCATATCGGGAATGCCTGTAAACGAATATCGTTATCGAGAAAGAGACTTGACCTGAGGAACATCTGAGACATTACCACTAAAATCAGGTCACTTCTCATCTTTCAAAGCAGCTATTCATGTTTGGGGATGCGTAGTCCTGCAAAAAAAAAACACGTCTTAAGAAGCGGAGCGCGAAACTAGATATTCTGTTCCTCACTTTCAGCAAGACGAGGCGGGAGTCAAAAAGATCATTTGACACCTTCGATTCAATGTTTGTGAGATGAGAAAAGGTGACATGGCGGTGGTGGTGCTCCAACGACTAGCCCTCATGTCAAAATAAAATCTACGGAGCAAAAAATCTTGCCAGGGCGGCAAAGCGGATCTCCGAGTAAGCTGCTTGTCTTGAAATAAATTTATCTTGTATGTGCACATCGGTGACAAGACACACGATGCATCAAAAAAGTAGTTGCATGATGAGGAGCGACGACTGAATTCACGAGCTCCATCCAGTATTCGTTGAGCATTAATGACGACTGCAAAGTACGGCTGAGGATGTCATCAAGACGAACAGATGCATTGGCGACGAGATTGCTCATGGACAATCCTTGGCCTTGGAGAGCGGTGCTTGGGGATTAACTGAGGCAGGTAAGTCGGGTCGGGCCTTTTCCGGGTTGATGATTTCCGTGGCGGACTTGACGCGATCTAAAGCCTCCAACAAGACAGCGATACGGGCTTGTTCCTTCTCGAGAGCGACGACGGTTGCCTCCTGGCGACGAAGCAAATCCTGGTACTCGTTGTCGATGTCGTTCAAGCCTGGGAGCCAAGAGGGAAGCTTGAAGAAGGAATTGGAACGCTGCACGGAGGCGCCGCTTTCCTTGCTCTCGACCTGTTCAGCGGCCGCTTTCACAGCAGCGTCATGACGGTTGACTATGTACACCTTGCGTTGCCAATCTAACCTAGACACTACAATATCAGCAAACCCGCACCCAATTCCGACAGCCATGGCAGAGTGACTGACGGTTTTCCAATGGGGCCCCGCGATGAACAAAGACCCAACATAGCCCGCAATTCCGCCTGCGATGGTAGAGGCCATGGGGCCATCCATGTGCAGCCTTGCGGTGAGGACCTCCCTAAAGGCGAAGAACGGGGCGGTAAAAACGCCACAAACGAGGCCGCCCCTAAGCGCGTAGGCGGGGGGGAGGGCGCGCGCGGTAGCGTACAAGGCGCCGCCGGCGAAGCCGGTTAAGCCGCCTAGAGAGACGCGACGGAGGCCGCCCTCGCGCCACCAAGCGGAGCGGGGTGGATGGGTGCCGGCGGCTTCCATGGTGAAGCTGGATGTACGAAGAATGCCATGCAGCTGGGGCTGCGGATGCGGGGATCGGATGGGGGGTGGGAGAAGAAGCGGGAGGGGGGGGTGGCGGGGTGGAGTATGGAGTACTAGAAAACTGGTGGCCCCGCCCCGTCGTCCCTGGGTTGCCCTGTTGCTCGCAGCACGCTCGCACGAGCCTGCTGCACAC